GTAGAATATCGTCCACATCACAATCAGACCACATGTCCCTGTTCGGAGAAGCACACCGTCGTACAACAAAGCCTTCCTGAGGTCAATTTCGTCAGCGTCCGTGCTGATGGTGAAAGTAAAGGATACCATTAGGTTCTCACTTTAAACAAGTCTTCTTCCTGGTGTATTGCGCGTTTCTTGCCCAATTCCGCCAGATAGGCGGTAGGAGTCGGCTTGAGATCAGCCGGTTCTGGATCCAGCACCTGGAGCCTGAATTCTTTGGGTGGTTTCAATTGCAAGGGACCCGCCGTCAAATTGGCAGTGCTCTGACACGTAAGGTCAACTGATAGCGAAAAAGTGAAACATTTGGTCTAAGATGTGGCTTCGATACGTTCATACTGTTGACAACTGACAAAATAAAATCACGCATCCTAAGTCTGACTAGACAGTAGCGTAACCATCGGAAAGTACAAATTAAAACACTTGACGGCTTCATTTTAAAGACAAAAAAAGATCTAGCGCCCTTCTTTGTTATTTCACTGTGTGCCGTTAACCATATTTAAGTGAAGTCACGTGTTTCCCGTGTATTTCCTATCTTAATTACGCGACTAGAAGTTTTGGCTGAACCTAAGGTGATGCGCCTACTAACAAGGCCAAGTCCAGTCAAACCGGGTGAACGAATAGTCACCGGATTTGCTGACTGGTTACTAACCTTTCAATCATAAACAAAGGACTTCATTGAATTCACCCGCCCGTCATGCTATACCATTATGAAGTGAAGTGTATAAGGTCCATTTGAGATGCACTTGTTCAAAGTGCAAGGCCAACTTCGTCGGTATTTTTGGGTCCCATGCCTGTTTAAAATGTAGATAATGTGAGTCTTATAGCTGAAAAGATGTACGATGGTTTCTGATAATATTTAACAACAGTCATGATACGAGTACTTTAAAAGTCACAGCTGGCAGCTGGGAATACTGACATAAACTTATCCAAGCGGTCTATTGTGGCTTTGCTGTTGTCAAAAAGGCTGACAGAGCAAAAATGCCTAACGTGGTTCATTCAAGTCCAGCCTCAGGTTTTGTCCTATAAAGCTGTCACTGTAGACAATCCATTCACCTTAGAGTTGCTACTTGCCGAAAGCGTCATGGAACCCGCGAAGAGAAAAGTAACAAACTCAAGTGCAAATTTCAGCTGTATTAACAGACGTTATTCTCTAGGGTGCATGCTTGATAAATACTTTAATGGATATTATGAGAAGGCTGAAATACAAGGCCGACGGAAAAATGACATCAAGAGTTATCTGTCATAACGCTCCCAAAACATATCACATGACAGTTGGAAGGGCATACTTTGAACAACCCTCTTTTTCATCCACTCCTTCAACGATCCGAAAATACATATCGCTCGTAAAGGTACCCTTGAGCTACACTGCTAAGGAGGCTACCTGTTTTCTTGTCGTAACTGTAATGCAAGTTACTTAAAGTTAATGCAAATTCGAGCACCAGCCCCATACCGTACCCTAACTCCTGCAATTTAGCGCAAGGTCAGCTATGATATGGGGGCACATATTCCATGCCCTATCGTCAGGTATTGCAATTGACGTTACATCTGATATATGCAAATTCGACGGAGAAGCTCATTTGGTAATGTGAATCAATGAATATGAAGTGTAGTCCAATTAGTATATTCCGTTTTAGACGGATACAAATAGCAGGAAACTCTTGTCGGTGGCCTGTTGATTTAGTGTTAGAGGGGTCTTCATCGTCTGAACATGAAGGCATTTTCTACCCTCTGAACTTACCGTGAGGCGTAATTTTTCTGCACGCATCGTATTCTTCTAGGAAGTGATTAAGTGTATCCCAGTCGCCATCAGTGCGCACCATAACGTGACTCCGAAGGAGCTAAAAGGAAAAAAGATCAAAAAACGTATCCTTTTGAAAGCCAGCGGAATTCTGTGCAAACAGAACCATTACCAGAAACATTACTAGGGGCCCTCTACTAAAATGAAGTAATTCGTTCCGATGAATGTAAAGACTTGCAAAAAAGGGTGTGAGTATGGGTATGTCAGAAAAGTACCTTAGGCATAACAAAGGGAAAAAAGTTGGCTTTGATTAATTAGCTAGGTATTAGCTAGGTTAGGTATTCAGGAGTTCATGTTGACGACTTATAACAACTAAATAATTCCGACCGCCTCTGCAGCGGTCACGTCCACTGCGCAGTAATCAAAGGCCTATTTATGCTCTTGATAGGATAGTTGGCTTGAATAAAGTAAACAATCATCTTAAAAAATGATTAAAATCGTTAACTAGCCGCCTAACACCATAATACAGAGGTGTAGACGCAGGACATCCGGAGATTTCTTTGAGCTGGCCACTAATACTAGGTTGCGAGGACACCCCCTCAAATTACGTGGGACTGAGGGAAAACTGGACCCAAGAAAATTCTTTGCCTTCGGCATAGAATGCTCTATCTGCGGACACTGTCATGTCTCCATCCGTGGATATCTTTAAGACGAAGTTGGGCCAGCACAGCCTAACATAACACCACATCACCTGAAAATACCCTGTGCCCCCCAGTATGGTCTGCCACCAAACATATAATGCGACAAACGTGGTACTAGCCTTTTTCAGTAGTATTACTGTTTCCCCTAATAATTTATCATCTCCGTAGGCGAATGCTTTTGCGCTGTCTTCTTGTCTCTATGTGGACTTCAACGATCGTTAAGGCAATCGTTTCTACCGCACCGGTGGTCCCAGGTTACGCGGCGCTGTAACTTCCTTCCTCATATCTACCCACAACCGACTGGTGGTAGGTTCCTCTGTTTTCGTTCCCTTATCAGCAGACCCGGTTAACACCAAGGGCGTATTATGGTCGCATCTCCGCCTCCTCCGGATGTTCTTGTAACTCTGCGGTCTCCTCCTTCGGATAAAGATAGTAAACACGATGGACTTCACCTAGCTTGCCGCCAACAAACTCAGCAGCACGCCGGTCAT